GTTCAATCAACATATAATTTATTTCTGGGCCCAAAAAGGTGTATTTTTTAAATCATATTCTCACATCAACATTAGCTGGCAGCTGCACATAAACTAAAGTGATTGCGTACATCTGAAATGGAGCTAAACCTCTGTGTGCGTCTTATCTCTCCCCTATAGTACAAAACACCAGATCTACTGTATCTTTAGAGTATCCGTTATCTCCTCTGGCTCTGACACGCACTCTCTCCTCCAGCATCCAGCAGTCAGGAGTATATTGAGCATGGGCTGTGTCTGAAATAGGGCTCTGGTCAAAAGTAGTGCACTAACAGGGAATAGGGTGCCATTTCGGATGTATCCATGGTCTCCCTTTTTTACATCCAGGTACTGATATCTAACCGGCAGGTTGGTCAGATCAAGTTCCTCGGTCTGCCTGCATTAAACTTTTATCTCAGTTGTCCCCTCTCAATTGATGCGCCGTCCGCCGACGTCAGAAATAATTAATATGGCTTAAATATGCACTATTAAAACTTTGATGAGGGCCAACGACTCATTATTCCACCCATCAGACTTATTAATGAACAGAAATAATTTATGCTGATATCAGATGGCTTTTGACTTTGCCATTCCCCCTATATAATAGATATGTGGACGCCATGGTTACATAGACTACCACTATAGTCGTCTGTCCACAAGGCTTTGGTGTGTGTTTGTCTCAGAGAGACCCTTTGCTTAGTTAACCCACCAACGAAGAACTGTCAAGGGCCCTCATAAGTTCATTAAAGATGAAAACCTGTTTTACATTTGAAAGGACGGACTCAGGAATCTAAGACAGTACTTGAATTAACGTCCGTCCGAGTGGGGGTTTGTATGAATATTAATAGAGTAGGCAGCACATTTGTTCAAGGCATGGTGGTGTAAAGACTTCAGTGAACTTCTGAACAAGACTACGTCCAAAATTGCACCATATTCCCTTTATAGTGCACTACTTTTGACCAGGACCCATAGGGCTCTGGTCCAAAGTAGTGCACTATCAAGGAAATAGGGTGCAGTCTGGGACTTACCCCAAATTAGCACATTTGTTTGCTGAGGGCAAACTGGAGACTGAAAACATTACCCTGGTCTCATTACAGGTGTCTGATGGAAAACAGTGTATACATCCAGGTTTGAATAAGGATTAGATAGAATCATATAAGAAATAAGCAATGTGTTATTATGTGCAACGCTGTGTGACTGTGAGAGAAGCTGTCAGCAGAGCAGTATGCTTTCCGTTAGTTCACTGATGCCGTGATTGTTTCCAAATGCTATTGTGAATGGCTGGAAAAGCCCTTTGCATTGTTACTGACACACTGTCTATACAAAGCCATAATGCCAAATGACGGGAGGATTGTGTAAGTTAGAAACAAATTCGCAACTTTCATGGTGCTTGACATAGGCTATAATGGAAACACTATAGGGAAGTGAGTATCCAAGAGTAGAATTTAAACACGAAAAGTAATAAGACGTAAAATGTTTTTTACGCAAATTGTGGAAAAGAAAACCAATTTATGCACATCTCCAAACAGTCTATCAAGAGCTTTGAGCCATAGTGGTATGCACTGAATTAACCAATTGGTTGCTATGGGCCTACTGAAAAAGTATATTTAATTACAATTCATGTATTTTTATGACAGACTTCTGAGTATTAACTCAATATTAAAGGACTACTGACAAACGAACCAACGGCTCACGGGCTGAACTAATACATTTGACATGCAGATAGCTTAGTAAACAACATTAAACAGTGCAGCCGCAATCCTTTAACAGAAACTGATGTGTTGGCAGAGGTTCCATAGACAAACCAGTCCAGAAATAAACGATAAACCTCGGATTTCAAGTCAGATAGCCTCACTGTCCTCACTCTATAGCCCAACAAAACAACATTTTTCCGACAGTATTTCTGGGCAATTCAGGCCCAACATATAAGAGGAGATTTCATAATTAGATAAAGTATTCAAAAATATGAAAGTATACGAAAATATGGCAGCAATGCCAGGTGTAAATGCTTTCCGTCACATTCGCCTCCACTCTCTCTCCCTCTCACCTGCCTGTGGTTCCACAGCTGTGCAGCGTTGCTGAACACTGCCATCTATCGCGCTCTAAAAATGCAACATTCTCAAATGGATACAATACCAATTTTAAAACGGAGCCTTGAACTTGAAAAGGAATCAGTTGGTGTTTCAGCCTAGTCGTCATTCTTTACCTTTTTGTCTGTTTAGATGTGTTGTAATCCCTGAAGTAAGTCTATGTTATTCTATGCGATGTCGCCGCAGGGTGAACATGGCTTGGAGAATAGAAGTGTCTGAGATGCGTAAAGGGGGAGAAAGACTTCACCTACCATAAGATTCAATGCTAAATTCAGAATTCTGACATTTACTGTATTCGTTTATTGTTTTTAATTTCGACAACCTAATAATGAATCAACTTCACATCAAGGAGGAATAAGGGAAAAGGGGAAGGCAACTCGCGGTCGTTGAGAATATAATGTTCTCTGTGCGCAACGACCTATATTCGCTCATTTTTTATTTTTGCAAAATCCGCAAGCTGTAAAACTGAGATTTAGCAGGTGTCAGTGAGATGCCAGTAATAAATCTACAATTTTATCATCCATCCACTATCAACTTGGCACCCATGACGTTGCGCAAGACGAAAGAAAAAGGACAACCGGTGCAAGGTCTATTCTCCAAGCTGCACGAGTCATTTCAATGTTATTTTATGACATTACTATTCTCATTTATTTGAGAAAAACATACATTTCTAATCACAGGACAAAATAGATCAAGAAAGAAAGAGAAAAGTGAATTTGGAGAGTTTACTCTCTGGACCTCTGCATCTGTCTAACCTTACCCCACGGTTCCTGATTACGGACAGCACAACACAAGTAAGTTTGTAACAGTGGAAATGTGGCGGTAGGCTCCTGCAGCCCAAAAATGCCTCTGATCCTCCGCTGGAACGTGAGTAGAAAGTAAAGCTCGAGCGGTATAAAAGAACCGCTAACTGCTCTGAATAAATATGCGATATTATGGAACAAACTACGACGCCAACAGAGCCCTCTATTCAAGTTATGGTAAAATTGACAAAATAACACAGAGATATACTTTTATGTCTAAGTAAGACCATTTGTGAACTGAAACTTCTAATAAATCGCATGATAAATGGTTTGGTGTTAAAATGTGGAAACGGTGCTCAATATAGGCTTTTCTATCAATTAATTGAAAAAAATGTGTGTTTTATTCCTTATCTATAACTAGCACCATTTTGGAAAAGGATAATCATTCCAGAATAAAATGCTTAATGGAAAGTTAGGCTATTTGTTTATTTCGTTTTAAAAGTTCAATTTAAATCGAATTACTATCGTGCAATTCCAATATGACCAAGGGACATGAAATTCAACAGTCCAATACATACATGAAAGTCTATTCTTACCTTTGATGTTTTTTTCCCAACTTGTTCTAAATGTCACGCAAAGCACGAGGGCTCTTCTTGACTCTTCAGGCTACCTCAACAGAAGTGTATCTCCTCTCTCCGAGGTCTCGATCAAAACGACCTGCAGCTGGTTACTGCGCTCTCTCTGCGAATTGGACTCTACTACAAGGACCATCGCAACTCTAACTGAGAGGGGTGCACAAGAGAGAATGTGCTTCTTTTTTTTTTTAAACAAACGCGTATACATACTTGGAGTATGGAGTAACGGTTTGTCATGACCTCCATGTGTTTCATATTAAAGACACTTCACTAACGAGAGTTGTTTTATTATTATATGGTGATGTGCAATAAATGTTATTTTACTTACAAAAACACCCCTCATTTCCCATGGTCTCCCCGATGCTGATATTCTATGTGAGGTTGGTACCAATTTAAAGCCTGACTATTTTTTTTTTTTTTTAAGGGAACCCTTGTCAACCTGCTTACAATTACTTTATATCTGAATCTATGGAAGTTCACGATAATTTTCACACAAAAAACGTGAATATATTGTGAACCATATACTGTACCTGACATTCAATTCTCTCTGATGGCAGTTGATTCCAGCTTTGAAGTTTGAATAGTTTAGTTCAGTCACAGTGGTCTGACTGTAGTGGCGATTCCTGATTTCCCGCCACTAGTACAGGTTGAGAGCAGTAGCCTACATGATGCGCCCACATCGAACTGGCTTTCCAGACTTGGAGCGTTGCCTGAGTGATGTTCCCATTTATTTGCAGATAAATAACTTAGGCCTGGAACAACTTTGCATTTAAATAGAATAGGGTATAAAGTAAGGAGAGGTGCACTAGAGGTTAAGAGCGTTGGGTCAGTAACCGAAAGTTTGCTGGTTTGAATCCCTGGGCTGACTTGGTGAAAAGTCTGTGGACTTGCAATTGAGCAAGGCACTTAACCCTCTGGATAAGAGCATCTGCTAAATGAAGTAAATGTTATAGTGAGATGGTAAGAACCATATGCTTACTCTCACCTGGCTAACACTTCCTCAGTGCCATTTCTAGACATAAGCGGCCCCAACCAATGAAATAATTATTGTAGGAAGTCAGTCAGGGTCTTCATTTACAGTTAGATGGATAGTAGAATACACAACGTTCAATTTCGAAATTTGGTAGTGCATCAGCAGTTTTTCTCTTGTTATGTCTGTCACTGACAGTCACTCAATTAGCCCATGTCAGCTAACATATCATAGATTGCTAGGTATGTTAGTCTAGCCAGCTATCTAAACCGTGTAGCCTAGTAATCATGGCCGAAAGAATTTCTGACCGGCATAAATCATGGCAAAATGGGTAGAATTGCAGGAAATTAGCTTTAAAACCAAATATCGTTTAGGGCTCCCAAAACGCTAGAAGCGCTTCAATCTGTGGCGGGGCCAGGGCCCCTCTCTGATACTGCGAACTATAGCCTATCCTCCAAAACTACATTTCCTAAGAAGCCTTGCGGGCTGCTCAAGAATCGGTGTAAAACCCGATTGCGCGTGCGTATCCAGACGTGGCAACGGCATCATGGCTTCTTGGAACGGCAACGGAATTGGGATGAGAGAGCTGAAAATGTACATATTCGTCTTGTTGGTAAGATGTTTATGCTAATTCTTTGTGTCATATAAACAGAGACATGTTTGAATTTAAATGGTGTTGTTCTTTTTATTTAATCTGCAAAAGCCTGCGATGTGTCTTTACCGTGTCTTCGTGCAGGGAGGCAAAGTTGACAGCCCTAGCAATTTTAAATCAGAGCCTGAACCTGAGGCTCATAAATACAAGTCAATTGCATCTTACTGTTGTTACATATCGACATTAGGCTATATCGACATTAGGCTACATTTCATATTGTTTGATCAAAACGGTGTACATCCTCGTGAATGGATTGCCAGCACAACATGCATCTAGTGTCCCTTCCGAGAATGGATATAGAATTCCTATGATGACGTAAAGCGAACCTGGCTGGAACAGAGCCTTGAAAATAGGGAACAATTATTACACATAATCTACAATAGAACCCAATAATCTCTTTTACATTGTTGCAGATTTCTATTCAGGTTTCTATTAATCTCTTTTTTACCTAGTTGTCCTGCATACCTCACTTGTTCGTCTCTCTATGTTGTGTGTCATTCGTGTGACTGCCTGGCTTCAAGGCACAATAATCTTTTTTGCTGACTGTCTATTTTGGAACACCGTTTTTGGGAAGAGAACTGTGATTTGGCGGAATGCGTAAATTAGCCTCCTAATTTGAACGCTTTCTTTCCTTTTGAAGCGTGAATGTGATAAAGACCGCCCGTTGCTCTACTGGTCACCCCCCAACAAGTTGCAACTATTTTCCACGGTGGGCGTGGTTTACGTTTATGATCAAAATGCCCTTTGGAATCACTTACAGCTAGGTGATTGAACGAAGGTGGGGTTATTATGACTCATGGTCAGTCATTTGAACATTTATTATGATGATATGTCGACCCTTTTATTAGTATAACTACATTCATTTCTTGAGGAATGCAATGATTGCTGGATATGTAACCTTGTTTGCAAAATGTTTTACATTGTTACAGTAGGCCTACATTATTTTACTTTGTTACCAACACTCATCCCTTGATTGGCTACATAATGGCTGAATTTCGACGTCATTCCAATCTCAAGATTTGTGCCCATGGACCTTTCAGGTTCAGCATCCTGTTTGGTGGTTTAGTAACTGCCATGTCAAACAAAGGTGGGTACTGCTGTAGCTGTTGTGTAATGGCAAGCAAGGGAAATTGTGTGTGTGTGTGTGTGTCTGTTGCTAGCTCCTGTATGTCTGTCTGTTTGTGTAAGTTCAAGTTTTATTGTCATATGCACAAGTACAGTGAAATGCTCAACTTGCATGTGCTACCCAACAGTGCAGTAATCAATATCAAAATATACTGAACAAAAATATAAACGTAACGATTTTACTGAGTTACAATTCATATAAGGAAATCAGTCAATAAATTCATTAGGCCCTAATCTATGGATTTCACATGACTGGGCAGGGGCACAGCCATGGGTGGGCCTGGGAGGGCAGGGGCACAGCCATGGGTGGGCCTGGGAGGGCAGGGGCACAGCCATGGGTGGGCCTGGGAGGGCATAGGCCCACCCACTGGGAAGCTAGGCCCAGCCAATCAGAATGAGTTTTCCCCCACAAAAAGAGCAGAAATACTCCTCAGTTTCATCAACTGTCCAGGTGGCTGGTCTCAAAACGATCCCACAGGTGAAGAAGCCGGATCTGGAAGTCCTGGTCTGGCGTAGTTGCACGTGGTCTGCAGTTGTGAGGCCGGTTGGTCGTACTGCCAAATTCTCTAAAATGATGTTGGAGGCGGCTTATGGTAGAGAAATGAACATTCAATTATCTGGCAACAGCTCTGGTGGACATTCCTGCAGTCAGCATGCCAATTGCACGCTCCCTCAACTTGAGACATCTGTGCCATTGTGTTGTGTGACAAAGCTGCACATTTTAGAGTGGCATTTTATTGTCCCCAGCACAAGGTGCACCTGTGTAATGATCATGCTGTTTAATCTGCTCCTTGATATGCCACATCTGTCAGGTGGATGAATTATCTTGGCAAAGAAGAAATGCTCACTAACAGGGATGTAAAAAAAATGTGTGCACAAAATTGTAGAGAAATAAGCTTTTTGTGTGGATGGAACATTTCTGGGATCTTTTATTTCAACTCATGAAACATGGGACCAAGACTTTACGTGTTGCGTTTTATATTTTAGTTCAGTATAACTAATACAAATTAAATAATAATAATGATGTGTGTGTGGAGATAAAGGGAGTCAGAGCAGTAGGTCAATCTGTGTGCTGAAGACTGTCCCTCTGGCGGCCCTGCCTAGCTGCCTGTCAAAGCCATTTAAAAAATATCTCAATCTGGATTGAGTGACCTCCTCCTCTTGACCTCCCATCATGGTGAGTTAGTTGGTTGCCTCGGTCAAGCCGCCCCCACCCACCCTACACTATACCCTCTAGAGCGCTTCTTCCCTATACAGTGCACTACTTTTGACCTGGGCCCATAGGGATCTGGTCAAAAGTAGGGTACTATATAGGGAATAGGGTGCCATTTGGGATGCAGTCATTGATAAAGGTGTTCATCATCATAATCCATCTCCTGAAATCAATGGTTGATAATTGAAAAGGGCCACAATGGTTTCCTCCCTGTCAACGGTTTCATCAGGGACCATCTTATCATCACTGAGAAGGAAGAAATGTCTATATGTCAGCTAAGATGGTGTTATCAGATGCATTGTCCTTAGCATCCTATGCATGCACATAAACACACTTATATGCATGGTCACACGCATACACACACACACACAAACATGTAGGCCTACACACAGACACATACACAGTCACACTGACACACACACAGAGGGACTAACACAATGTACACACACACACTCTCTCTACTGTTGTTCAAGTCATTAATCAGTGACAAAATGAAGGAGAGTGTTTGACAAACCCGCCCCTGATTTGTTCTGATTCAGTGCGCACCCTAAAACAGAACTTAAAACAAGACTCCGTTTATTAAGCAGATTTGTCACGCCAGATGGAGGGTATAGCCATCGCCGGCAAGAGAGAGCGAGACGATCGCCTGGGTTTCTCTCTGCTGGCTGCTTAGTTAGCGTGATACTTTTTACGCTGATGTAACGTGACACTTTTTTGGGATGAAGGTAGGTGTAAAGTGTTGTAATTGACTTCCTCAATGTATTCAGGGTCTCTGGCAGTTTCCCAAATGCTACCCTAGTCCCTATCTATTGCAATACATATGGAATAAAGTGCCATTTGGGACGCAGCTTCGGGGTGGGAAGAGAGAAGCTCCTGCACTTAGGCCTACGCTACATACAGCTGCATACATCCTATCTTCATTGGATATGCCACCTAGCTGAGATCCGGCATATGGGCTGAGTGTGATCAATAATGAAGGGACTTGCCATAAATTATAGTTCTGGACTAAACAGAATTAATGGGATATGCCTGATGTGTTAAGTCAGTTCACAATATTCGGTGTGATACTAGTGACCTTATGCCTCTTGCATATGACCAAATATGACTCTTATTTTTCAATTCAGTGCAGACAAGGCCTGAATGTCAGGGTATCTTAAACCATAAGCCTTATAAGTGTATGGGCAATTCCATGTTAACAGAGTGATGCTGGGACTCTAAAATGTATGTCAGACAACCAATGATTGCAATGATCAGTGGAAATTGTTAAGAGTAGTCCTTGTGCATAGAGTTGTATGGAGTCTCAGCATCACTCTGTTACTGTGGAATTGCCCGAATGCAAACAAGAACATGATTTGGTGAATCATAGCAATAGGGTTAGTTTGAATTGTGCATTGCGTGGTAAAGGAAGTAGGCATATCTTCAGAAACATGATACACATGTACAGAATAGCTTAGCCTAGTTCTTCAGCCTCAAACACTCACCAGAAATAAACAAATACATAAACAAGCAATAATAGTGTTGCAACCACCACAACATGAAATATACGCCTAACATCTAAGGGGCCTGTTTTTTCCTCACTAGAACATCCCTGAGGCTATGGACATGAGCTAGGCCTAGCTACCTCTTCAGCTGTGGATGATTAGCTGCCTAGCATGCAGTGTATCCCCCTGTCTGTTCTGTCTGTCTCCATCGATTGAGAGTCTAATCTCTAGTCTGAGACAGTCCTCCTGCTGTTCTCTGGGTGTTGATAATATAACAGGGAGCTGAAGTTTTGTGTGTGGGGGTGGGTGGGGGGCACAGATAAAATGAAGTCAAATCAGACAGTCATTAGGATGCTGCTCACATTGACACGGGACAGTGCCATTGTCTCCTGAGTGGCGCAGTGGTCTAAGGCACTGCATCGCAGTGTTAACTGTGCCACTAGAGATCCTGGTTCGAATCCAGGCTCTGTCGCAGCCGGCCGCGACCGGGAGACTCATGGGCGGCGCACAATTGGCCCAGCGTCGTCCAGGGTAGGGGAGGGAATGGCCGGCAGGGATGTAGCTCAGTTGATAGAGCATGGCGTTTGCAACGCCAGGGTTGTGGGTTTGATTCACATGGGGGGCCAGTATAAAAAAAAAAGATGTATTCAGTAACTGTAAGTCGCTCTGGATAAGAGCGTCTGCTAAATGACTAAAAAATGTTAAAAAAAAAAAATGTAATGTAGCCTAAGCCAACGAGTAGGTACCTAGGTAAGGGAACCAACCAATGCACTGATTGCCAGGCAGCAACCCAGCCATTGATGGGGCTTGTTACAGTATTGGCTGCCTGTCAGCTGTCACGGCATGTGATGTGTGAGAAGCGAGCACTACAAGGTCAATGTTCCAGGAAATGTTTTTGCAAATCCTCTCCTCGTTCTTTGTGTGTGTAGCTGTGTGTGTTTTGCTCCATCCATGCTGATGTCCTTGTCCCTCCTCCCCTCCACATCCTCTCCCAACCTCACATCCGCCACTCTATATAGTGCTGCTTTTCATTTCACCATAATACTATGCTATCCATCAACTTCCTGTGAATATAATTGTGCTCCTTGTACGTTTCACTCTGTTGATCTTCTCAACAATATGCGTTATGCACACCCACTCTAAGTCCGCAAATGAGCCTGGAGAAATGTGATTGCGTGGGGGAGAAATTATCACCAGTCTTTCGTACATTTCTAAAGGGTTCTAATGTTAATGTAGCTGTGAAATAGGCCTACTCTGCCTCAGTTCAAGAGCTGCCTCCAGATGCTATCAAATAGCTCAGGACTGACTCATTCTCACACTCAATCGCCAATACCAGTTCTGTCTCGTCTTAACTACTTATTTTTTGCATACAGTTAGTTCATACTCACATGTTGTCTCACAAATAGATGAGTTTTCAAATCCTGTTTAGTATCTAGCATTTTATCAGTCATGCTATTGTGAGAAGCAGGCTATGGTTCAGTGGATAGCTATTCAATCCCACATGAGTAAGTTGGACCTTAAAGCTCCCCGTTCATTCTGCACGGTGGTTGCTCCAGTGCCTCTCCTCTCAAGTCTCCACTCTCCCTAACTGAGATGCCCTAGCCAAGGGAAGGAGCAGTGGAGCAATATCGGATGAGTGAACAGGTGGAGAAAAGAGGCCGGCCCTGAGATGCCGATTCTTTAATTACTCCTCACTGTCATCTCCACACGCCCGCCCTTTAGTCTCCGACCGAGGGGACGTCACCTTGTCATCATCTCAACAGCATCCGTCCGCACCACGGCCACCAGCCTCCCACCTCCCACACCTAGAGACAGAAGGAGTAAAGGGGATGCCCCCTATAGAGTTAATCAGTCATGCAGACAGAGTAATAAGGAAAAAAAGATGACTCTTCACTTTGTACTGTAACTTCTGTTCTTTTACATTCCACCTTTTTTTAATGGAAATTTACCACGAGAATGTGCTGAATTCCTGTCACGCCCACCTTACGAGGGATCCAGCAGGGAATTGGAAATGAGAAAACCGAAACCCGACAGGTGCTTGTTTTGATATCCCGTTATATCACTCATCACTGTGATTTGATGAATGGGTAAATCCATTTGAATTCAATCACCTCTTTTGATTGGAACGAAACCTTCCATACATATTTGCCCATTGTAGAAGTGCTCAGAAAGCTACTTTTTGGACCTGAATGCCAAAACATAGATAAAGGTGCTCAAAGTTGACCCATTTTGCATACCCCACCATACCATGAAATATCCATGTCTTCATCACTGGAAAAGATAAAAGGTTGAAATTGATATAATTTAAAAGCTTACAAACAGGGTTGTCAAACTATTTGATCATTTTCTGGAGACTAATAATAATAATAATAATTTTAAAAAGGCATTTTAACCTTTTAACGTAAAATATCTAAACTCAAACTCCAATTTTATTTCATATTCACATATGTTGTAGCTTAGACCCTATTTTACATAATCTAATGCGTTTGTGTTGTGCCCACCATTGAGACCCTCAGTCTCACACAATGAGATGACTCAGTCTTTGTTTCACCTTTGATGCTGACCACATACATAGGGTTTTGTCTTGCACATGAGGTGTCTGACATCTCATATCACAAAAATGACAATTTTTCCGCACTGAAGCATCCAATGTGTGAGTTATTCTGAATGTGAGTCGGCCACTGAATTAATACAGTGAATGAATGAATAAAATACAGTATTTATCCATCTCTATGTCTGCAGGTGTGCCTGGTGTCTGTGCTGCAGGCGGTGGTGAAGGTCTCTCCTCTGATAGAGAAGGTCAGTGACCACAAGGACTTCAAGAAACTCCTGAGGACCCGAACTAATGTCCTGGTGCTCTACACTAAGTCAGGTGGGTTTGAACCAATGTCCTGGTGCTCTACACTAAGTCAGGTGGGTTTGAACCAATGTCCTGGTGCTCTACACTAAGTCAGGTGGGTTTGAACCAATGTCCTGGTGCTCTACACTAAGTCAGGTGGGTTTGAACCAATGTCCTCGTGCTCTACACTAAGTCAGGTGGGTTTGAACCAATGTCCTCGTGCTCTACACTAAGTCAGGTGGGTTAGAACCAATGTCCTGATGCTCTACACAAAGTCAGGTGGGTTAGAACCAATGTCCTCGTGCTCTACACTAAGTCAGGTGGGTTAGAACCAATGTCCTGGTGATCTACACTAAGTCAGGTGGGTTAGAACCAATGTCCTGGTGATCTACACTGTCAGGTGAGTTAGTGGTTCTATGTCCCCAAGCTTATAGACTAGCCAAAAAAAAAGGCTTTGTGAAGTCTGTATTCATAAAGCCTCTCAGAATAGGAGTGCTGATCTATGATCAGCTCCATGTAATCTTATTCATTATGATCTAGGCTAAAAGGCTAAACTGATCCTAGATCAGCACTACTCTGAGACGGTTTGTGAATACGGTCCCCAAGCTGCCTTTTTCAGTGTAAATGACCTAAATGTGACCTTATCTGTAGTGTTCTCTTATCTTATCTCTGACAATCTGTCACTTATAATGGTAAATGAATAACATTGTGGAAGGGCAGTGATTATGCATCACACTGCTTGTTTCTAATGACCTGTAGCTTATCATGTTCTCTTCTATTCCCTGGATTTGGAAGTACTACATAGAACAGTGTACTGAACAGAAAGACACTCAAAAGCTCAATGTGATCAAATGAAGCCATGAAACTGCATTCACTGACAGCCATTAGGGAAATCACCCTCTTGCATTTAATTACATTTTCATTTGCATATTTCAGGCCAGTAGAAAGTGCAGTGCAGTGCACTCATAGGCTTGTGTGCATGCGTGCTGCTCTATGCTGATGTTCATAAACAATCTCCCTCTCAAGGCCCCACCGCTCCCATGAATTGTGTGTGTGTGTGTGTGTGTGTGTGTGTGCCGTGTACGTACGGCTCCACTCCAGATGTATTTGTTTCATCATTCATGAGCCATTTCAGCCAGTGTTAGGTCATTGGATAAGACTTGCACGTATCGAACGTCACACTGGGATTGATTGCTTGCCGTTGCCGTGGTGCTGCATTCTGGCATTCTCCAAAGGGAAGGTTTAGAAGGTTTACTCATTTGATTTCCTGCTGTCGGATCCTCTCATTGACCGCCACTGGCACATCACTTGGTTCCTTTACAGCAGGGGCCCAAAAAGCTCCAGAATTGTCTGTCACAGATACTAAGTGTTCCGGTGCTTCCCAGTGCCCCATCTGCCCATCAACTGTTCTGAGACCCCAGCACCAACTTCAGGAAAAGTCCCTTGAGTAACTCGAATCTGCAAGCAATCTGAACTCACCATATATGGTGATCTCTAATCTGACACCAGTGCCAAATGTTTGAATTACCACCAACCAACCTGGTGTGAGTCAGGACCTCCAGAGGACAATGGCAATGCCCCAAAACGAAAAATAGAGGAGGTGTCCAACAGAGCCAGAGGAATTGTCCAACACATAATACTACAAGTGTTGAAGGGGTTGTAAAAGTGATGTATTGTTGTTCAACAGAGATGAAAGAATCACGGTGTGCTTACTTTACTTCTCTGAGTCCACATTGTATCTCAAAGGAGATTGTGTAATGCTGTACTGTATTGTTGTAATGCAGTTGATTACAGTTTATTATTTGATGGTTTCTCACTAGGCCTTGGACTATGATGTGTTTATGATTTTCATAACATGGTGGAAATAGTTTAGTGATGACTCTGTTAGGTAATGTGTTAGGTAATGTGTAGAATGTGTGAATCGTAGATTCTGCTCTCCCAGAGACTAGGTCTATTTAAGTAACACTAGGGTAATTTCCATGGATACAGTACCATTGTGTGGTAGATGTTTGAGTTCACAGTCCATGTTTTTAGTGTTATGACTCCAACCTTCATTGAATTCTAACTAGGATATTAAAAATCCAGCCACTTTCCCAGGTTCTCCAGAAACCCTAGTTGGAAGTTTCCCGGAATAGGCAGGAAATCCGGAATCCTACAACCAGGATTTCTGGAGAAAGAAAAATTGGGAGAAAGTTAGAATAGAATTGCAACCCTAATTATAACCTATTGTTAACTGTGTATTATAAGGTGACCTGAGTAGTAAAACTGAATTGTGTTTTTGTGAAATATAGGCCTAACTCCACCCCTCTTATCTTGTGTGTATAAACAGCTACCTCCGGGGACTCTAAGTTCAAGTTGCTGTCTGACGTGGCCCAGGTCGTCAAAGGACAGGGCACCATCGCCTGGGTCAACTGTGGGTAAGTACAGGATTGATTGAATGGTTGATGATGGGATGACATGCATTAATACATCAGTCAGTGTGTCACATAATATGCTGTACAGTATATAACTTCCAAGGGATTTCCAAGAAGTGTTTTAGGTTAGAAAAATGTCCAAGTCACCATGTCACATACAGTATATCCCATTATGCTTCTGAATAGCATTTTAGGTTGGAAACATTTTGAGGCATTCCTCCCAGTCCCAGCTCTGAGATGTATAGCTATAGGGAAGGAAGTTGTAAAACCCTCTTTAAATGGCTGCCTTGTAAGAACACAGTGAGACAGGCCTGGACTAAGTAATCGATAGCAGTTATTGAAGCCTAGGCCAGCTGCATACAGTCGTGTCATATCTCTTTACACCCATGCCATCTCTCCACTCTCCATCTCTCCCTGGCATATCCTCCTGAAGTCACAGTGGAGATTGGAGAAGAGATATGCTCATTAAAATAGGGAGTCTCTTTCTCCATATCCACATTCTGCTGAGGGCTCTACAGAGGATAGAAAAGAGGAAACCGCTCTTCAGACCCTACATTTGTGTGTGTGCTCATGTTCGTTCTGTGTGTGTGTGTGTGTGTATTGTCCAAATGAGTTATGGGCACTGTTCGGAAAAAACACGCTTTCCCGTCCCTGTCTCCCTGAAGCCCCTGCAATAGACCTGTCAGGTCTGGGCAGATGAACCATTTGAAACGAAGTCTCTGGAAGTGTTCATACTGGGAGGATCCACCACACTCCCAAGACACACACTAGAATAATTGTTTTCCTTAAACATTTCTTTCACTTTTTCCCCCTGTGTGATCTGACTTCTATTCTAGTTGATTTCCTGCCATTTTATCTTCCCGTTGTTTTTTTATACCTGTCAACCTCAACCACTTGAGCCATTTTTGTTGCTCGGGAGAAAAAGCTTCAAACAGAAAACTACAAAAGAATCAAGATCACCCCTCTGACACCTACCACTCAAAGCATCCCTCAAAGTTTCTCTCAAGCCTGTCCAAGATGGAAGATGGATGAGGAAGGAAAAGTGTCTAAGAACAATGTAGCCTGGTCAGCTGTTTTATATAGACCTATAAATATTTACTATGAGAGATTGTCTTTCTTTTCACTGCAGTAAATCTACTGTCAACCCTCTCTTTCTCCACCGTATGCCTTAATACTGAAGGGTGTGGTGCCTGAGGCTGGTCTAATGGTAAATGCTGCCGCCTGCAGCACGTACTGTATACAGTATATTACCTTCAGCGAGGGTACGAATCCTGCCCACTACTCTCTGTATCTCCCTCTCTCCCCACTCATTTCAACCATCGGTCCACTCTCCAAAAAATCGAAAGAAATACTGAAAGGTGTGGAATCTCCTGAAGATCCGCAGCAATTACATATACCTGTGCCAGAGACCCTTTACGGGGCCTTAGATGACAGGCTGCATAGCTGCTGTTCAGTCACACAGGTGATGCAGTGCCAGCTTCTATAGCTGCTAGCCTAGCATTGTGAGTCTGGCGACTGGCTATGGTTTTCCCACCTTCTCCAGTTCTCCCATGGACCAGGTCCAAAACAAAGCTTAGTGTCAGTGTGAGAACGGTGGTCCATGCCAACAGAGGGATGTGAGCCAAGGATGACACACTCACCAGATGACAGGACCTGAGAGATGGCCAACAGTGATGATGTCACAGGAACTGGGCAGGAGACAGTGCCAGGTCAGGCATGGATGCCAGACTGCAGACGCTGCTGATAAAACAAGGAGATTTGTAACAAAATGACTGTAGTTTGTTGTTTTTGCTAATGAGCAATGGGCAAATTAATCTCTGACTGCTTGGTGTACCATCAGACTAAATGGTATTCTGAAGCCTCTTCCCAGCAGGCAAGCTACAACCAGTTTTGCCCACTGGGATTACTTTTCTGTAGTACCTGTCTCTCTTATCTATTAGTCTGTGGACAAAAGTTTGACTTCACCTGATCTCTCTAGAGGTGAATTACTGACAGTTCCCTCATCAGTTACACCTTTTCAAGGAACATCACACAGCCCATAACTTCCCGCCACTCTCCCTCTTGCCACTTCCTCCTCCCAACACCCCCGTGTTCCCTCTTCCAACCAACACCCTGTTGACTGTGGAATTGACCTGACTCTCTCCATGACACACCTTGGCGAGAGAGAGAGAGGCTACACTACATCCCCACTCATCCATGATCAGGGTCCTGGATTCCTGGCCGTGGGTGGAGTTGCTGAGCTTTGCCAATCCATTGTCTTTCCCACCAGCTGGGGGCTTTGATTGGTCAGTGAGTCAATTTGACTGCTGTGATGGCTCCTCCCATTGGTTGGTTGAAACAAAGGGCTATTTTTACCAGGGAATGATTGCAGTGGCATCAAAGGTGGTGACATGGGATACAACTCTTTGGTTGTGGAGTTGTCTATTAGCTACACCTTTTCCTGTCTGTCTGTTTCACCTCATATCCGCTGAGTCATTGAGGCTATGCTTGTCGTACTGCTATACTTCACAAGTTTGGGATGCCTTTTCATATCGACAATTTTCCACCATGACTATGTTGCCTCTTGCTTCTCAATGTAATCTGCAACACTTTCACAGTTTCGCTCTATTAAGGTTGGAACCGCTAGCTTACCAACACTACCTCAATCAGAGATGCAGTACTTGGTGACCTCCTGTAGCTTTGTTTGACCAGAGGTGGGAAATGACGTACATTACACCACTTGAAATGAATGTCCAATCTCTCTTATCCAAAGGACATTATACAAGAGTGCATCCCAAATGGCACCCTATTCCCTATACAGTGGCTTGTGAAAGTATTCACCCCCCTTCGCATTTTTCAAGGCACTGTATTGCAAGGCACTACACCAGATGACACATGGGGCCCATAGGACTGGTCAAAAGTAGTGCACTGCGTAGGGAATATGGTGCCATTTGGGACACACTCCAAGTGTAATGATGAAGTCTACCATCACCACCAGCCACCTGACAGAGACGGACACCCATCTTCCTCCTGCTCCAGCTCTGCAGTGAGACTATTTCTCCTGGCAGACAATGGGCGCTCTCTGCCACATATGTAACACTAATGATGGTGTCTCTTTTTATCTTAAAGGACAGAGTGCTGGATATATTTTGCTGATGGGGGCCTGTGCTGTCAGAGCTGTAATTGAATTTCATCTCTTTGAATTTCCATTAGCATAGGGCATAGCTCTGTTCTAGGTAGACGGGCAGGCCCTCTCTCTATCTCTCGCTCTCTCCCTATTTGTACTTATGTAATACATTTCCATGCTCATTATCAGTGGAGAGAAGGGGAGTTATTATTGTCGAGAGACCTGTGCTTGCATTGTGAATTTGTGCGTGGGTGGCTGGATATATAGGAAGAGGGGGACTGTGTTTGTGTTCAGTGTTTATGTGCATGCATTTCTCTAAAGATGGTACCTCTTCAATTACAGAAGTGAGGCTCAATGTTCTTATGTAGATTTGTGTTTACATACAGTGCCTTGCAAAAGTATTCATCCCCCTTGGTGTTTTTCCTATTTTGTTGCATTACAACCTGTAATTTAAATTGATTTTTATTTGGATTTCATGTAATGGACACACACAAAATAGTCCAAATTGGTGAAGTGAAATGAAAATAATATATAAATAACGGAAAAGTGGTGCGTGCATATGTATTCACACCCTTTGCTATGAACCCCCTAAATAAGATCTGGTGCAACCAATTACCTTCAGAAGTCACATAATTAGTTAAATAAAGTCCACCTGTGTGCAATCTAAGTGTCACATGATCTCAGTATATATACACATGTTCTGAAAGGCCCCAGAGTCTGCAACACCACTAAGCAAGGGCACCACCAAGCAAGCGGCACCATGAAGACCAAGGAGCTCTCCATACAGGTCAGGGACAAAGTTGTGGAGAAGTACAGATCAGGGTTGGGTTATAAAAAAAATTTCAAACTTTGAACATCCCACGGAGCACCATTTTAAATCCATTTTTAAAAAATGGAAAGAATATGGCACCACAACAAACCTGCCAAGAGAGAGCCGCACACCAAAACTCACGGACCAGGCAAGGAGGGCATTAATCAGAGCGGCAACAAAGAGACCAAAGATAACCCTGAAGGAGCTGCAAAGCTCCACAGCGGAGATTGGAGTATCTGTCCATAGGACCACTTTAAGCCGTACACTCCACAGAGCTGGGCTTTATGGAAGAGTGGCCAGAAAAAAGCCATTGCTTAAAGAAATAAATAAGCAAACACGTTTGGTGTTCGCCAAAAGGCATATTGGAGACTCCCCAAACATATGGAAGAAGGTACTCTGGTCAGATGAGACTAAAATTGAGCTTTTTGGCCATCAGGGAAAACGCTATGTCTGGCGCAAACCCAACACCTCTCATCACTCCGAGAACACCATCTCCACAGTGAAGCATGGTGGTGGCAGCATCATGCTGTGGGGATGTTTTTCATCGGCAGGGACTGGGAAACTGGTCAGAATTGAAGGAATAATGGATGGCGCTAAATACAGGGAAATTCTTGAGGGAAACGTGTTTCAGTCTTCCAGAGATTTGAGACTGGGACGTAGGTTCACCTTCCAGCAGGACAATGACCGTAAGCATACTGCTAAAACAACACTTGAGTGGTTTAAGGGGAAACATTTAAATGTCTTGGAATGGCCTAGTCAAAGCCAAGACCTCAATCCAATTGAGAATCTGTGGTATGACTTAAAGATTGCTGTACACCAGCAGAACTCATCCAACTTGAAGGAGCTGGAGCAGTTTTGCCTTGAAGAATGGTCAAAAATCCCAGTGGCTAGATGTGCCAAGCTTATAGAGACATACCCCAAGAGACTTGCAGCTGTAATTGCTGCAAAAGGTGGCTCTACAAAGTATTGACTTTGGGGGGGGGGTGAATAGTTATCCACACTCAAGTTTTCAGTTTTTTTGTCTTATTTCTTGTTTCACAAGAACAAATATTTTGCATCTTCAAAGTGGTAGGCATGTTGTGTA